TATAAATATGAACACACATGTGGTTACACACATTAATGAAGATATTCTTTTTGGGACAATATTGCTTAACCCAAAGCCACAGACTGTCTACTACAACCTCTAGTGACAGGCATGAGAAACCTTCTTTTGAGTTGTTAATAAAGGGAGTACAGGGGTCTCCCAAAATAATAAAGGCTATTGCTGTTGCCCTTGTTTGCCCCTTAGAATTAGAAGGAAAGTCATTATTGCTGAAATCAACTCACACTTTGACACAGGATTTGGAGGATTAAAGGTCTATGTGATCCAGAAGCCTTTTCTCTGATGACTAACTTTCTTAGTTCTGAAAGAAACCATGTGAATTGCCAAGGGTGGAAAGCAACCAATAGTTTTACTGTATTGGTTGGTTTTATATTAATTTTACAAAAGGTAGAGTCATCAGAGAGGAGGGAGCCTCAGTTGAGAAAATGCCTCTAAAAGATATGGTTGTGGGCAAGCCTGTTGAACATTTTCTTAGTTAGTGATTGATTGGGGAGTTTCCAGCACATTACATATGGTGCCATGCCTGGGTTAGTATCCTGGGTTCTATAAGAAATCAGGCTGAGCAAGTTAAGAGGAGCAAGCCAGTGAGCACAACTCTATGGCTTTGGTATCAGCTCTTAATTTCAGGTCACAGTCCTGCTTGAGTTCTTATCCTGACTTCCTTTGAGGATGAATTGAGATGTGGAAGTATAAGTTGAATAGCAGCTCCCAAAGAAGTTTCCATGGTCATGGTGTTTCATCACAGTACTAGTAACCCTAACAGAGACACATACCTATTTGTGAGACCGATGAACTACAACAATCAGCATGACAATGTATCTCCAAATGTACAGTGGTGGCACTTATATCTTGGTGGTAGCCAATAGTTTCCTAACTGGACTTAAAAGTCACTCAACAGGAAATAATGCCTTGTACTATAGACCTAACCAACCACGCATGGCTAGTGAGGTCATGGATCTTAGAGGAGATGCTGCTACTGTCAATTTACTAAACCATTGCAATCCCTCACTGCATTCTGAAGACTTGTGCTTATACCCACAGATGAGTGTAGTTCTTCCCCATCATCAATCAGCTTTTTTTAAGCAGATGGAGATCATTATATAATGTCACATCTGGTTAAGTTGATTGGTGAGATAGACATCTTCAATCAATACATCAACAACACAACCCTTACGCCTAATGCACAGGGAACATGGTGAAAGAAGAAGAAAAAGAGAAGAAGCAGGAGAAGGAGGTAAAGAAGAATAAGGAAGAGGAGGAAGAGGAGGAGGAGAAGAGGAGGAAGAGGAGGAGGAGGAGGAGGAGGAGGAAGAAGAAGA